GAGTCGTCATTTTCATGCACTTTGAATTTGCGTTGTATCGTATTTTGAAGGCATTAAACATTACCAGAGCGATAAGAGTGTTGCGACCAGATTAGACGCTCCTTGTGTTTATTATTATATTTCGAAAACACCACAGTTTTCATGCAGCTCATACCATATTATTTTGTTGTATTAATCCGCCACACCTTAAATGCCGGTCCCTGAAAATATTGTCTGACTTAAACCGGTCCGTGGGGCAAAAAAGGTTGGGGACCCCTGGTGTAGAGGAGAAAAAAAACAACCATTTGTGTGTCTTTGTGCATGTTAGTAATATATTTTATGTGTTAATGTACACTGCACCCTAATCATCCTATCAGTCTCATTTTCACAAAAAGTATTAAAAAAAACAAAAAAACAAGCAGGTAAATCTTTAATCTACGGTGGCGCGTGTCGGAAGTTGTTAGCGCTTAGCAGTCTCCAATTGCAGCTTGTGATCAGAGCTGTTGCGCTATATCTTTTATCGTTATCATTATTCTCATTCAGAGTTTGTTTCGTGTACAATTCACAGAGGGCACGGGCAAAGAATAGGAATCTAGAGGGCCGAGGGAAGCACTTTTAAATGGTACGTGTGAGCGACGATAGTTAACAGGCTGCAAAAGTGCGTCGCATGCCTCTGTGTCAGGCTGTTACTCATCATGGCGTGCGTGTGCGCGGTAACAGGTTGATCGCAGGGGGTTGCTTGATCGAAAAGTTGATCTTCGGTCCAAAAAGTTTGGGCACCCCTGATTTAGGCCATTATTTTAACTCCGTACAATTTCAGTTATAGAGCAAAGAAGGTGATGATATGGCACTTTGATTTCCATTGTTTGGTTGTGAACTACTGCTCAACTATTTAAAATTCAACTAAATATTTTATTTTTTGTCTGCAGAGCACACCTGAGACCAGTTGGTTGGCAGAGCTGTTATGGACATTTTTTTCTCCATTTACAGTGTATCATGTAAGGTACTAAATATCTTGTATCATTATCTCTTCCATCTTTGGTTAAATCATCAAAACGTGTACAGTACGTATTTTTTTTTTAATGCTAAATTGACTTCCTTTGTATCGCGCTTTTCTACTTTCCAGGTCCTCAGAAAAGAACTTTGACACTGTCACCCCATTCACTCAGTCAAAATGATTAGTTCAATACATTGTCATGATAGGCAAGTCACAACTTATTCAGGCACTAAGGGCAACTTTGGCTTCTGTATATTGCTCAAAGTTTTATTTATGTATTTATTTTTAATTTTATGCTTTTAAAGAGGGAAAGTGTCACATACAACCTCGAGTGATGACGATGACTGTACATTGCAATTTTTAAAATTGCAATCACAAGAGATTTTTGTGCGTGCGTGCGTGCGTGCGTGCGTGTAATTATTGTGAAAACCTTTTCCCCATTCTGTCTTCAGTTGGTTGCCACCAGTTTCGCGAGAGGATGGTGAGTCCTCGCAGGAGTTTGCCAACAAAGTCCAGGAGGTAAAATAAAGCCACTTGAATAGAAATTTGCTAACTCGGCAATGCCATGTTTTTGCTGTGCTCTGGCTAGCTACCGAGTGTGTAAGTGCATAATGGGACTCCCTCACTGGCGTATGCTTGCATGCCAACTAATGTGTGATGACTGTGCAATGTTTGTCCTTGCAGTTGCTCGCCGGCGAACTTGGCTTGGTCTCAACAAAAATCACTAAAGCTGACAAAGCCGAGCACATCAAAAGGAAACGACGTGCCCTCCCGCAAACATCTACAAGTAAGCAAATGAATAAAAACGGATGCCGACAAAGTTCGCACTGTGTTCGTGCTTTGATGGATGTTTTTCCTCACTTTAGGCTTAAGAGCTGGCTCAATTGGCCTGGGTTTCATGGTGCAGGGTTTGGGAGCAGAGGAGCGTAGGATAGCTCAAATGGCCCAGCAGGTGAAGGACGTACTGCCTGACATCCCCCTCAATGTCATCACAAAGGACTTGGGTATGACGCAGTCAGCACGCTTTGACTTCCGACATCCTCCTTGCGCTGTCCTCTGCAAAACCAAATCTTATTTCAAAAGTAATCGCACTGATCAGATCCAATATCGTTTGCCAGATTTGCTTTGGACTCACAAACGATAATCATTCATTTTTGTCCGCTTAGATATGGAAGCATCCTGCAATAATTTTTCAGTCGAACAAAATGAACATGTATTTCATCAGATTTTCTGGTCCCAATCTAAGATAGGCTGCAATCTTTCAATTGCGTGAATTCACTCACGGTGAGTGTCAATATGGTCTACCGAAAACCGCGAATCTGTCCATTTTAAAATGGTATACTAAAACAAAGTAATTTGTGTTGTTTCTCAAAACAAAAAGATTTTGAGGTTCATTGGACAGTGAGTTGCTGTCCAAACTTACTACCCCAGCGCAAAATGAAACATTGGCTACAATGATAATTCACAGCATGTAGCTAATCACTTTTTATTTGGAGCAACTGCTACCATGTCCGCTTAACCCTGAGCATTTGAAAAAACACACACACACACACACACACACACACACACACACAGACACTTAGAACATGGGCATTCTAAACTACTAAAACAAAGTAATTTGTGTTGTTTCTCAAAACAAAAAGATTTTGAGGTTCATTGGACAGTGAGTTGCTGTCCAAACTTACTACCCCAGCGCAAAATGAAACATTGGCTACAATGATAATTCACAGCATGTAGCTAATCACTTTTTATTTGGAGCAACTGCTACCATGTCCGCTTAACCCTGAGCATTTGAAAAAACACACACACACACACACACACACACACACACACACAGAAACCTAGCTTTACGACCTTGAAAACAAAACATTTGACAGATTCAGAGGTGATTTAGTTTGGTTGCTGGAAAAGTACTCTAGTAAAGTAAAATAGTGAAAATATGCAATCTTGCAAACCCATTAATTGTGAGCGCAGGAGTTCATCGTTCATACCTCGATAGACCACTTTTTTAAAGTGACCCCCACCTCCCCTTCGCCCCCCCACCCAATATAGTTAGTTACATTTTTGTGGAAAAGGAGTGTTGCAGTTGCTGATACACTTTTCAGCCATTTTACAAACACTGGGAGGACAGTAATTCACATGCAGGAGTAGCTGTTAGCCATATCTCACGCTGAGACACACACACACACACACACACACACACACACACACACACACACCAGCGTCGCAGGCCACCCCACCAGGCACTTGTGTTTTAAGCGTTTTAATGAGTTTATAAAGTGTGTGGGAGGGATAAAGCCATTAAAAAAGGTCTCTGTATATTCCAGATTTTCACTTATCCAAGTTGGGCCTGCAACGTATCACGCGTGATAAAGAAGTTCACTTTAGTTAGAACTTTTAGGAAGTCTGTAGCAATCAACAAAGTGGGCGGGTAATAGGGACCATGACCGTCAATTTGCCGTGTGAAAATAAAATGTCGAGTATGTGTTCTCTTTCCTCATCTTGTACGCCGTGAATCTGAAAGTTGCCTTTTGATTGTCTTACAGCAAAAACCAATTGTGTTAATGTCACCATAACAAACTTGCTGGAAAATAAGGAGGAATCTTCAGCAGAAGATACCGAGGGGTCGCTGTTTGGGGGTTCTGTGAACGGCCCTTATTCCTCCACTTCTGCACAGACTATAAAGGTTTTTATTTTAGATTCCATCCTAAAGTGTGATGTTCAGAGAAGAGTTTGGGTTGTGAACTTCAGTAAAGCTCCTGGAGTTGTCACACATTAATTGAGTTATTTTTCATAATTAATCTCTCAATGCAGTCTAATTTCATTTTGTCTTCTCCTCAGCCTGCTGCAAAATCTTTTGGGAAATCACCTGCTGACAGGCATTTGTCCCTTCAAGAGAGGAAAGAAGCTCTGTATAATTTTGCGAGAAGGTTTGACTCTTTTTGTTATCCTCCGCAGTATTGTCTCGTAAACATGTTATGTACTCTGCTATTTGCACAAAAGAGAAATTTCAATTATAGTAGTTGTTTGAGAAATACTTTGACGTTATGATTACAAAATGATATTAGTTCATGAATTGTGGTTTAAGCGGCATTTAGCTGTTTATTCGACAACAGTTTTTCCCCCATCAAATGGACTTGTAACTAAAGCAGCACTAATTGAAAAATTTAGGCAGTGATTTCTTCCAGCAGAACCACAATGTCACTTGAGCAACAGAATATGTCATCCACCATGTTAATCCCTATTAAAGTGTGTGTGTGTGTGTGTGTGTGTGTGTGTGTGTGTGTGTGTGTGTGTGTGTGTGTGTGTGTTCCCTATTATTTCCCACCCTCCTCCAGACGTTATATTGAAAAATATGGATTGGATCAAGAAGACGGTCACTGAACACTTTGGGTCACGTCAGCATTCCCAACAAGAAAAAAAAAGACATTCAATCTGTCTTGTTTGAAAGATGATTTTTATATTCAATCAGCTGGTGGTGATGGTGATGGAAAATTGACGTGCTCGACAGGTCAAGGAGTGGTCTCACCATATACATTATAAGTTGGTGGAAGGGTGCATAATGCATGTGTTCAATTCTTCATTCTTGCTGATGCATAATTTTGATAACACTTTGTATTATGATCCACTGACTGTGAATCATCTATTTATTTTTATAATGTCCAGAGTCATCGATTACAAATAAAGTTCGGTTTGACCTTGCCTCTGGTGGGTTTATTTCACAATACAGTACTTGCACCAGCAACCAGTACTATCCAGATGGTCCATCGCAGATCATTTGAGCGGGAGGCAATTGCACGTGATATTCGAAGTTTCAATATCGCGTACTGCCCAAACACTGTTTACCAACAACCTACTTAATATAACACATAGTTAATTAGAATCTACATTTTGTATTAAATGTGTGCCATTTAAATATGGGATCACTGTTAATAGTAAAATTAATTCAATACCAGAACAGAACTCCATATACTCAGTAGTGTATTCAATTCATGTGCGTATAAATAATTACCGGTAAATAGATTTAATACTAAAAGAATGGCGTAGTGGGTTGTTCAAGTTCTGTGCGTACATCTTCAAAACTCGTCTAAAAACTAATTTTTATTTTTTGGCTTTTGACTCAACATGTGACTTGATTTTTAGTTTTACTGTTTTTTTTTTTTTTTTTTTTTTTTTGCTTTCTACTGTCTTGGTTATTCATTTTTTGATTGTTGTATGAATTCTTTTGCTCCATGTACAGCACTTTGCATACAGCAGTGGTTGTTTTAAAGTACAACCAGCCATCCATTTTCTAATCGGGTAAAATTTTATGTTTCATTAACCTGCTTTGAATGTTTTTGGAATGTGGGAGGAAACCAGAGAAAACCCACGCAGGCACGGGCACATAGGAAGGCCGAAGCCGGACTCGAACCCTGCACCTTTGCACTGTGAGGCGGACGTGCCGCTCTCTCTAAATACAGTTGAGTTGATATACTGTAATGGATTAAAACTGTTAACGGATTTTTTCATATTAGGACAGAACTGCATATTCGGTGTGGCGTTCAATTCCTTTACGTACATATATAATTACATCGATAAATACTATAAAGTCTTCCAGGCGAACCATTTGTTTTTCTGTTCCACCAAATGCATTTTACAGCCAAACCGGAAATTGCGTTTGGCCGTGCTTTCCTGTAGCGTTATTGATAAGCTAACAAGTTAGCAATGTCGGGAATTGAGGACATTTCCAACGATTCTGTGACATTTAAAGAAGATAACGAGTTCAATGTAGAGGCGGGAGACCATGTCGACGATGACGTTGTTATTCATCGATATATGTTTTACAGGTATTGTTCCGTAACACACACGTAGTTGTGTCTACGTAGCTAGTTGAACTAAATGAAACGTCCATTGAGTAGTCCGCTCTTGAGTGTAATGGGAAGCAGTTATATCCGTGTCCAAGTCTCATCTTAAAGCATTTTATGTCAACTACCGAGGTTCGTGTTTGTGTCTTTCAGGGACAGGAAAGAGTGGGCTGATTTGGAGCCTGTTCCTCAAGATGATGGACCAAATCCTGTTGTCAAGATTGCTTATTCAGAAAAGTGTAAGTTTGGTCCAGATCGCTCTTCTAGTGGCTGACATAGACACTTTTTGTTTTGTTATTTGTGTCTTTCTACAGTCTCTGATGTTTTCGACTATTTCCGTGCCCTGCTCAAGAATGATGAAAAGAGCGAACGAGCTTTTGCCTTGACGGCAGATGCTATTGAGCTGAATGCGGCAAATTACACAGTGTGGTAAGATCACTGTTATTCTGTTCAATTTGAAAATTATTGTTTTCGATAGTTCCCATAATCTCAATTTTTAAATAGCATTGTTGTTTACAAAGCCATTACATCATTTGATAGTTTCAGTTGTTATTTTTGGCTCCCTGTGATTATGTTTTCTCAAGGATTGTACAATATTTTATACTTTCCAAGGGACATAAATTTGCAAATTACTGTAGGCTTGTTGATTATGGTGGTGTGTTTTTGTGTGGGAACATGCAGGCATTACAGGCGAGTATTACTACAAGCATTGTCAAAGGACCTGAGAGAAGAAATGAGTTACATTACAGCCATCATTGAAGATCAACCGAAAAACTACCAAGTCTGGTGAGCGCATGTAAAGAAGCGGCAGACCAATTATGTTAACCAGTCATCAGTTCAAGTTACAGTGGTGAACAAATATTCAGATTTTGCAGTTTTGTTATACTTATATAGACCGAAGCAGATTTGACAAGTTGTTTTTTTTTTTTTAAAGAGAGAGACGGACATGGTATTTCTGTTACTTTTTTTTTCTTTTTTTTGTTTTTTTTTTTGTTAAAACAGTGAACATATTTCACCGTGTTTTCCAGGCATCACAGACGTATAGTGGTTGAGTGGTTGAATGATCCGTCAGAGGAGCTGGAGTTTATTGCAGACATCCTCAGCCAAGATGCAAAGAACTACCATGCCTGGCAACACAGACAGTGGGTCATCCAGGTTGGTGCAGCTATTTTACAGAGGTTTCTGTCTGCAGTGCATGACTCCTTCTGCCTGAATCATTAATGGCTTAATTTAGCCATTGACTCCATATGTTCAACATATGATTATTTGTGCCAAAATTGAATAAATACAAAGGCATTTATATAGATAATTAAGAAATGAAAACTCTTCATGTGAAATGTAATCATCCAAGAGGAAACAAATGTCATGGCGTAGATTGCGGACAATGGCTCGTTCTGAAAATGTGACTACAAAAAATAGAAAAAAACCCTACAAGAACAACGGAACTTTATTTGGGGTCAATCAGAGGCACTTTAAATGGGGACGGTTGTGCGCTGATATTTAATATGAGTTTGAATGTGACAGGTAAGTTCTGATCACAGCCACATCGCCATGTACAGTATAATGTAAGAGAGTGTTCATTCCCATTTGCGCAACCACCTTGTCTCAGTTGGTCGTTTGTATTTCCCCTTTCAAAGATTTTTTAAATTGAGTTGTCTGGGTTATAGGTCATATAAATGTTGCAAAAAGTTTTTTTAATATTTATTTGTCTTGGTCTCACTTTTGTTGATCACAAAAACCTGGCATTTAAACACGGGTGTGGAGACTTTTTCTACAGATTATTTTCTTCATTTGGAAGACTCCTGTTTCCAATCGGATAAGCATAACCATGAAGTATAAATCCAGCCTGAGGTACCGTCCTCCGTGCATGCTGTGACCTATTTTTTTTTTCTCCCGCTCTTCAAACTATAAGGAGTACAAACTGTGGGATAACGAGCTGGAGTTTGTCCAGAATCTCTTGGATGAAGATGTGAGGAATAATTCTGCCTGGAACCAGAGACATTTTGTCATTACACACACGACAGGCTTCTCGGATCAAGCCATTCTTGAAAGAGAGATTGAGTAAGTCTGGCAGATTCTCAGAAAGCTTCTTCACATCACATGTTTACTGTTAACCAAATGAGCCAACTTTCATCACATGTGAATGACAGTTGAAGACCGTGAAAATCCAAAGGCATAAGTTTTGAGTGGTTAACACGACTTTTGTAATTCACAAAGGTTTTGAAAGTGCTTGCATACTAAATTTTTGGTGTACATACCACCATGTCCAACTGACTTAATCTTCCTTTTATTTTCTCTTTTCCTGTAAGATACTGTCTGACCCAGATTAGAAAGGCCCCCCACAATGAAAGTGCATGGAACTATTTGAAAGGGTAAGACATTTCCCAGCAACAGTATATATTAAGCATAAAAAAAAAAAAAACAACCTCAAGACTGCTTCATGAATCAAAAATTGAATCTTGATGACTGATTCACAATTTATCTGAGTGTGCCTTAAGTAAATGATGTTAGATCATGGACTGTAAATATGATATACATGGATACATTGATGCAAATTATAGTGAAACCTTGCGTTTACTTCCTACAACTCCTTTTTTTTTTCTTCCGCCTCACCCAGGATGCTTCAGGACAGAGGTTTGTCATCTCAGCCTGGGCTGCTGGAGAAAGTCCTGGAGCTAAAGGAGACACGTTGTTCCTCTTACCTTCTCGCCTTTCTCTTCGATTGTTATGAGGATGCTTTGGAGAACAGCAGTCAAAAAGGAAAATCGGCAGAAGACCGAGTGGACACTTTGAAAAGAGCTCTAGAAGTAAGTGGTTCATCTGGTCTGGTCGAGTATTACTTTGCAGTTGCTGGACTTTTATAGTGGAAATCGAAGGGTTCAGTTGTCAGAAATCAGCCTAGAAAAAGTGGCCCTAAAGTTAAAAAAAAAAAAAAAAGCCTAAAATGGGGTCAGACTTCATTTTCATCGTGCACAGAACTGCACCCAGCAACACTTAAATGTTCCCTCATACTCGTTAGCCCCTTAGAATCAGCGCACAAGATCCCTTTTTTTATTATTATTATTTTTTTTGCCACCAAACTGTTCTTGGATTGCAGGGAGAAGTTTCTCTTGGGATATTTTGATGCTGTTTATTCATGGCTGTGAGCCCACTCCCTCTGTCTCAGAATTGCTTTACTGCTTGCATGACACACAACATATAGTAGTGCTCACGTTTTCTTTTTTTTTTCCCCTGGATATCCCCGACCCTATTAGAAAGGGGGTTCATCAGAGAAAATCGATTGACAATATCCCACTCCTAAGCAACCCAATTCTGTACTTTTTGTTCCATACCAGTCTGTCACTAATGTTTTTCCAGGAGAGAAGTTGCATCTTTTTTGTTGTTGTTTTCAAAATATTTAAGGTTTCAACACCTGGTTTGAATGTATTATATCCATTTCCATAATTTCTTGGCTGAATGACTCCTCACCAAATTAAAGTCCAAAAGTCACATGCGTTAGTTTGTAACTGCATTTGATTTGTTGCCAAAAACATCACTGTTGATCCGCAAAAATTGTTATTGATTAAAAAAAAGTCTGAGACCTTCTCTGTATTTTCTTTTTCTCTTGTAAGATTTGTAAACTTTTAGCTGAGGAGAAGGACACCATTCGCAAGGAGTATTGGCTGTTTTTGGGACGTTCTTTAAAGAACAAATATGGACCGACTGAACCAGTTGACACTGAACTTCCATCCCCGACGGCTGAGCATCAGGAAGTGAACTAGATGCGCAAGTCTCACTCCACTCTCCCTCATTTATTGTTTTTTGTTTGTTTGTTTATTTGGTTCTGTATTTTACTATAATGTGGATCCATTTTAAAAA